GATGAATGTGTTTCGTCGCCCTTTCAACAAAACCATCTCAAAAATTACAGAAAAAATTCCAGGAGTTCGATCAGTCGTCGCCCCGCGACAACACTGAAAATACGTTTTCATCACAGGTTAATAGCGAAAACACAGCTGTCACGCTCATATAGCCAAAATTTCGAAATACGTGACATAAATGATGTTTTGGTTTTAAGACACGAACGTCAGACAAGCCCAGACAAATCTCTGGCGCAACGGTTATTTTCGCGCCAAAAACACGGAAACCGGTCGGCAACGTGATCGCGTGCACAAGCATTTATCCCCTTAGAAATGACTATTGTTACTACATTTACTCTTTTTTCACACTAATTAATCCTGGTTTAACTCAAGTTGGCCTTTAGAGTCAAATGTTAACGTGCCGTACGTGAAAAATCTGCATTTTAGTATTAGCTGGACGCGAACACAGCACAAATACGTGCTGACCGCATGCTGGGTATATTAATGAAACAGTTTGTTTACGAAAGGTTGAATGAATGGCTAGGGGAAAAAGCACGCAAACTAAGCCGCTTTATTTCACTTTCGTGTTGTGATGACAAAAAACGAAACACACGTACGATATTAATCACGTGACCAAACAATAAAGTGCTTAAGTGGGGACTGTCCCTAAGCGTTTACAAATTCAGTCTAATTTAGTGATTGCCAAGGTCACATATATTTAATTCATGATTAAAACCGCGGAAGCGAACTGCTTTTATCAATCCACGCTTACGGAAATCCTTGCTTTTGTTTTCAGTGTCGTTGTCACAAAGTCCGCCGTACAGTTGTCACGACGGACAATGGAAAATGATTCGAAAGCAGATTAAAATTTGCTGCATTGCCCTCCCTCCAAAAAAATCAATCTGCCGAGGACGTGACATGCGAATATTCACGTGTATCCCTTTAAGAAACAACTACCTCTGCTCTGCACGGGTTCAGTGTTACATAACAGTAGCTTAAACACTCACAGAACTTATCCTGAGATCACGTACTCATTTAAGGTTGACATAAACACCGGTTGATTTTTTTTTTCTTTTTGACAATATAAACATGTCGAATTAGCCAGCCAGTATCAACACGGAAATGCTAAACTGCTCCAAGGCGTCTAATTTTCCTTCGGTCCTCCGAAAAAATAAACGAATCGCAAACTGCCCACAGAAATCTTATGTCCGGCTTTGTTTGTTTCAGATAAGGTGACATCACACAAATGTCAAAAACATCTACGTGGCTGTGAAGGCGGATATTAACCTTTTCACTCATGGAGTCAAAGCTGACATTGTACCCAGCGTGTCGATATATTCAAATAAAATTTTCCGAGCAGTATTTTCGTGTGGTGCTGTTTATTATGCTGTACAAGGTGGTGCTAACTTTAAATTCTGTGGATTGAAAGAGAATGAAAGTACACATGAAAGATCTTGAGTAGTACTTTAATATTTCGTGAAGTACTATTTATTATGCCGTTAAACGTGGTTTTAAGTCTGTGGATAGAACCCTAGTGTGTGACCATTCAGATGAAAGCTAATGAGAAGTACTTTCAGGTGGTACTGTTTATTATGGTGGTCGCAAGGTGCATAGCTCTAACTTTTAAGCCTATGGAAGAAACACACTTGTAAAACAATCCAAGTAAAGGAAACTGACCGGTGCTTTCAAGTGGTGTTACTTGATTTTAAATATTCCGCAAAATAACATTTGTTCGATTTATATTTTGGCATTCTGAGAGTCAGTATTAATTCTTCTAACGATGAAACATTATCCTGAATTGGAAGATTCATTCCGGTCCAGTGAACATAATCTGGAAGTTCAAAAGTCTATTCATGGTTGTTCGTTTCTCTTCGTTTTTCTTTCGGATTAAATTCTGGACTCGGGAAAGACCAAAGGGGACTGAATTTACATTGAAAATTCTATCCGAGTAAAGCCCAACCATCTATTTGACAATTTTCCAGAGATTTCACTGGAATAAGTGTCGACAGGCTTTTAACGCGATATTTAACATTGTATTGTGTTTGATGTAACCTTAATTTCCGTCGATCGGTTTTCACTTATCGATTTCAGTCCCTCAATCCCAGGGGAAATTTATCGCCTGATGACATACCTAGTGGGAAGGCAAAATCCATCAACGGAAGTCTTTACGGACAATTTAGCCAAGGTCAAACAGTCGTGTGATCGGGAGATAACTTTCAGAGCTCATGTATACTACACGTTCGGGCAATTGTCCAAGTTATCTCAACTCAGAAATGCACTGTAGATCGATCAACTCGTCGATAAAATAGGCAAAGACACAAATAGGACTAATGCAGAGTAACAAGAACGAAACAGAAAAACAACAACAGAGTTCTACTTTTTCGTTTTATTTGATAGAAAGTCACAAGCTACTATGTAAAAAAAAAAACAACGAAAACTCAACATCAAAAAACGATAGTGAAATCCCGTTCAGAAGTTTTCGCGCAGGAACTCTTTCGTTGTAAGACCGAGTCACTATTGCTTTGACAGGTTTATTCCTGTTATTTACATTTATTGTTAATAAAGAGATGAGGTACCCTTCAATTTAACAATAAAACGTTCTCACGGTAAGTTTATTCTTAAGTCTTACTAAATATCAGCTCAAAGACTTTCAAGATTCGTCTATAAAGTTAAAAGGGATTACCAAAGTGAACAATAAACTCAATTGTTTGTCTAATTTTAGACGAAAGAGAAAGCTTTCTTTGTTAAGAAATGATTGTTATAGTATTTGAAAATAAAAATGAAAATAAAAACGGAGGTGACAAATGCAACGGGGATGCCTTGCTCAAGTGTCTGTAGTTAAGCTTCGATTAGAAAATAAAAATGATTTCGAAAAAGAAGCCATGGCTGGATTTCCAAAAAAAAAGAGAAACAACTGATGTATCTATAGTGGTCTGGATTGTCAATGATTTTCTACACAAGAACTGACCACACTATTTTCAAAGAGTAATACTTCTTCTTAATAAAGAACAATAAAAAAAAAAGGTCCCTGACGAAAGTCAAGTTTAATCCCTCTCTTGAAATTGTCGCGAAAGTGGTCGGCGCGCTTTTTAACTTCTCACACAAAGACCAGCGCTTGAGTTTTCGAGAGAGAATGGCGATAAGCTCAGTTTTCTAGCTTTAATTGATACTGGGGTATTTATAAGCCTTATAATCGTTCATATATGGTAGAGCTTCAGATTCAACTCGGTCATATTTTGCCTTCTCCGTTGTCAACACCAATGTTAGTCAACTTTTGCAAGGCTTGTCAAAATCGTTATCAATGGTTCGATATTTCCAAAGAAAACAAGATCTTTCGTGTCATGCGATATCGATCTGTGAATGAACTGACAAAGAATGCGTGTTAGTCCCTTCGTTGACGAAAACAATATCTCTCTTTCGTTATTTTATGCTGTAAGGTCATGTTCGGACAGGCCATGAAATATATCAACAAAAGTTACTTTGTTTCGAGTCCCTCGATCTTTATCAGTCGTTTCCGTCGCGCCAAAATACGCCGGTCTTTCCCGCTATAAATAAAAACCTGCCTGATTTTGTTCGTAAATCTTAACTGGATTAAATTGTGACCTGCATTAAGCTAGAGGTTTTTGCCAAGAAAGTTCAACCCAATGTTTATACAAGGGCTCGAGAGACATTCAAGAAGTCTAGCCAATATTAGCCTGAAGGTAAAGAGACAGCGGGATTCTTATTTTAGCAACCGAAACAATGGAATCGAAGTAAAACGTATTTATTGCTGACAAGGCAAGAAACACCATGATTCACTTTCTTACCAATATCACTTCATATCACGCTTCAATCTCCTTTGTGTTAGTCTTGATTTTATTTTAGCTGAACGCCGTACAGGACTGTGCAAAAATTAATATCACGGATTTTTAATAGCCAATTTTCTACGCAAACTTTATTTCAAAAGAATGACACATTCAAAGACGCATTCGACTGAAATCTGAAGAGCGATTTTTCCAGAGCAAGAGTGGGAAGAATAAAGGAAATCAGTATTGAAAGGCTTAGTTTACCTAAATTCCCTCCCTGCTAAGAGTCCTGTTATTTATAGTATTGATGGACGCGTGGGTTGTTTTCTTCTGCCATCGACGGATTAATGCACAAGAAACTGGAAACAAAGGTCTATTGTTTTTCAAACTAGGAGTGAAATTTCCTTCGACAGTGCATGGGATCTGAGGCGCTTTTCTCCCATCTGATTCAATAGCACATCGAAAACTACACTTTTAAGCTGTTCTGCGAACAACTGTTTCGTTCCAGAACTATTTAAAACCATAGTCAAACAACGATGCTCTCCTTGTTTATACTCTTTTATTATAAATATAAAAGATCTCTCTAATAAATTCATCGATGAATTGATGCAATTCGGGTTGACAAGCAGAAGCCCATAATGTACGGACTAATGCTTCAGTAAATAATTGCCATCAGCGGCAAATGAATATTACTTTACAAATCTGTCGCTCTTGCAGCGTATAGAAATATCATTTAGCTATTTACACATTTTTACAAAGGTAACTATTTACAAAAGTTTGATATTTACAAGAGTTTACTAAATATTGCCAAAGTTTGAATTAAATTAACGGGCGAGTTGCGTTGAGCTGTATCTAAATACAAGTTTTCTTTTGTCTTTTTGTACATTATAAAGTAATACGAGTTTGAAACCTGCCAAAAAGGAACCCACTTGAAAGATGCTTGCGGTTTCGTGATCACCGTGCATTCAACTGGGTTCTTTCGAGGCTGGAAGCCAACTCAGAACCCTTCAATACCAATCAACAAAAGCGATACATTTGCATTTGAAAGGCTTCGACAATAAAGAACGTGGATTGTTTGTTCTACTTTGTCACGACATCGATGAAGAGGATTTGTTTTCGTTTTTTCGCTCGTAGGCACACGCAGGAATTGTTCGCCAGCAAACAACACCGACGTGACTTCAAGCGAAACTCTTGTTTTGAAAATTTCCGGATGTTCATGTGTTAAGGTCGAGCGACTTTTTTTTTTTTTCTAACCTTCCCGATAAGCGCGTGTCTTCGCAAAGAGCAATATTAATAATAGTTCCACGAGTCACAGTCTATCAATTATCTAATCATGCCAGTCAGCAGTGATAACGAAACGACACAATAACATCGATCCCTTAGGCGACAACGAATCTTTACAATGCAAGCTTAGCAATATACAGCCGGTGCAAACTATTCGAGATCAAACGTCTGCATTTGAATCTTACTGTCTCTTAGACGCCAGCGGATGCCTGTAATACAAAATCAAACCTTCAGTTCTGTAAAACGAAGTTCTTGTCCAACTACGCTTTAGGATGAAAAAACAGCAGTTGACTTGCTTTGCCCTGTTGTTATGGAGAACGGATAAGTCGCTCCTGCGATTTCCCGAGTGCGGGCTTTAGTGGCTTTTAATCTTGTATTTGTCAACAATGAAGCGATGTAACACGATCAGCAGTCGATGGAAATCAAACACGAAGGCCAACAACTGATGTCATGTCACTCGAGGCAATCAAGAGTCATGTTGCGTAGTTTAAAAATAATTTCTTCGAGCGATTCGTTCCATCTTCGGAGAGAGCAAGCCTCTAAGACGTAAGATCTAGAATAAAGGAAGCACAAATTAATTTGACAATTTCGCGAGCGTAAGCTTGCTTAAAAAGGTGCTTACGTAATGGAAATAAGATTTGGCGGGTTGCGTTGGCGTTCCCGCGCGACCTACAGAAAGCGACTAAGTTGAGTTGTCTGTAAGTATACAACAGATGTAATCGTTAAAAATATCGTGAAGTTGTAGTGCTGTTATCATCGAGACGAAGCGCTTACCTCGTTAGTTTGTGTAACATGTAACTTCTCAAGTGTTCAGAAATTTCCAAACAGCTCTGCCGAGGAACACAACTCCAGCGACCACGCACACCGTCTTCATCGCTCCGACAACAATGTCTTGTTCTTTAACTTGCTCGGTTCTTGCGGAGGCTTCAAGGTCATCGGCGATCTTCCGAAGCTCTCTCCCAACTAAAATGCACGCTCTCCTACGGGTCGGAGATTCGTCTGTGGGAATAAGAAAAGCCGACGCCATCCAGAAACTTGCTCCTTGGAAGAAACTCATCTGTACTTCGGGACGATGGCTTTTTTTGTTGTGTGTTATGACGCCGCTGCCTTTTAAAATGGTCTAACGAACGCTCGTGCCTAACACACGACTTTATTGCCCTTTGTTAGCCCGGTTTTTGATTGACAGCACCAGACGGACACTGATTGGCTGACCGTTTGATGAATGCCAGGCCTTTTATTTTACGGTTGCTTGAACACAAAAAGGAACCCCCTTTTATGCTATATTTGTCAAATTAACTCATGAATTGTGTTTTCCACTTTCTAAATGTCGCCAAAATTATGAGCGCGACCTTGGTAATTTCCTATAGACCCACAGGTCTAAAGTAAACAATAGAGCGACGAGCCTGTACAAGACAAAACACACAAGATCTGCAACTAGAAGGGTACCTAGACATCAACTCAACGAATGCACTCACAAAAAAAAAATTTGATCACTTGAAACATTCGAGCAAATTTAAATGGGTTTCCACCGTGGGCGCACAACAGAGCAAATTACGAAAATACGAGTACGTTTATAAACATGACTTCAAATTGACGTGTTAAGTTTTAACATCATATTGTGGGTGGATTTTCGTATTAGATACGGTGGACAAACCACATGGAAGTTAAGACTTTCTTAAGTGTGTGTCTTAGGCAAATATAGATGGCATCTCGCCAAAATTGCCTGTCTTTCGTTTTGTTGAATAGAGAAAACGCAAAAAGATAAACATTGGCACAAACTTTGAACAAAGCAGTATTACAATACGGTCTCCGACCGCGACGTGATTTTTGCATCTTTATCCAGATCATAAATACTGAAGTTAAAGTCCCTCCAATTCTTTTTTTTTTTTTTAATATGTTTTTTGTGAAACAGTTGCGATCGGAAGAGAGTTTTATGTAAATTCTACACAGAATTTACTGCATTTAGGAAAATGTCATGGTTACGTTACGTACAATTATATAATGATGGCAATCTTCCAATTTCATTTCACCTGCGGAAAAGCCGCATGGAAACGTGCGGGGAAAATCCAATACAAAAAAGATCAAGACCTTTTAAGAAGCTTATTATAAACTCACTGAAATTCTGGGTGATCAGAGTTGACGCTTTCGTCTTCTGATATCAGAGTATATCATGCTCTTCGATGACGTTTGATGTTGCTACTTCGAAAATGAATAATCCCAAGTGTTTCGGCATGTGATGCTGTCGTGTGCTGATTCAGCACTCGCAGAAATTTGGCCACAACATAATCACACATTATTACGACACTATAACTCTAAAATTAGGAAAATTAGCCTTTTGTTTTCGTGTTTTGACCCAATAACTTATCTTCTCAGCCCTCGAAATCGCGGGGCAGCAGTACTGATTGCGAGAGGAAAATCAAAAACAAAACAAATTCAAACTAGGCACTCGATGCGAAAAATTATCTGTGTTTTGATCTCTTGAAATTAATATCACTTTTCAGAGTTTTCCCAGGTTAGAAAAATAGGCTGAAACAAACAAAATGAATCCAGGCATATTACAAGCTTTTAAAACGCAGCTACTTCGAGCGAGATCCGATTTACAACACCACAAAAGAGTTTCGATTACGACATATTTATCGAAATGTAACGAAATAAAAAGCAAAGACAAATTTGAACAAATTTAGCTTGGCTTCACCACACATATAGCATACGTGTTGGACTGCCACAAGATTACACTAAACCATAACAAAAACCCTTGTTTTCGTACCCTTGTCGGCTTAACATATTTTGACTAAACTTCAGTGGTTTGTTTTGTTTTCAAAGTAAAATCCCAGGAGATCACGGGATAAATTCACCTTACAATATCGATACGTTGTCCAGCAGACAGACAGTGAGAAAAACGAGAACCATCAGTTAAGGGCACTATGGCAAGATCTGCGAGTAAATAGCTTAAAAAAATGATGATAATACGAACCGTGTTGTGGTAGGTAACATCAGGTTTAGCTACGAAAAAATTCCCTAAAAGCCTCAGCTACCATTCTCTCATGGAACTTTCCATTCTAGACAACGAAACATCTCGAATTTATTTGCGGTTTAGTTTAAACCTGACAAATAACAGTTCAAAAGCGTGGGGGGAAGAAAACGAAAGAAGAAAAAGCCAATCAAGATGGTGCACTTAACGGGTTTCCTGAGTGTAAGAGCGCGAATGATGGCACTTGAGATTGGTTTGTCTTCACGTCAAGATTTGCTGAACTGGACATAAGATTATCTCATTAACGTCAACTTGTTGCGGAAGTGGGCAGGCGTTTCTGCCTGGCCATGTTATTTATCAAGGGCAGTGTTTTCGAAACAACGGAAGATGGACAAAAAAAAGGAACAGGAAGACTATCTACTGATGACGTGTAATTTCAGTATTGTTCGGCATGAAACAAACTTGATTCCAAAAGGGTTTTTTTGTTTTGCAGCCTTGGAATGGGTTTGACAGGCGAACTGAAACCAGTAAAAGTACGGAAAGGTTTTCACGTGTTTATATAATTGTGCATTTACAAACTGTTCTACGGAACGTTTTAATTTTCAAACTCCGTCGGAACTGAGCAAGTTCGAGCTTTCAAAGCTGCTGCTAACCAAAGAGGGCACACATTTTTTTCGAAGTGGGGACTGAACACATTTCTACAACGAAAACAACATTTTCGTCAGTGGGTTATCACGAGGCACGCAGAGGGTTTCACTTGCCTGTGACAGTTAAGTGTTTTGAACTTAATTAAAGATTCTAGACGATAAAAGATGAGCAATATCGCTCCTTAAAGGGTAAAAGTCAGTTTGAAACCCCAGGCAATACTTTTTGAAAAAAAAATATACATATATATGGGACTTTCTTAAACTGAATATCTGCGTGTCCATTAAGAAGCCATTAAAACTATTACGAATCGTCGTTCCCGGATAAGAAAATGACTGTGGTTACAGAAAGTTTAGTAAACTGTATATATTAGCTGCTAGAGTATTGTTCTCAACAAGACAACGGATTTAATCAAAAACTGCCGGGAAACCAATTTCAATCGTGTACTCAATCACTCGTTGAATAAACGTTTTTCTTTAAAGCCGACTGCCGTTTTGTCGCTGAAAGATGAAGGCGGGAAATTCGGCGTCGGCTACTCATAAATAGGATGAAATTACGGTGGTAAAATAGCGACAAAAAGAGCCGAACAGCGGGTTTAATTATCAAGAAAAAGGGATTTGAATACATTCACCAAATGGTATTTCAAGTGGGCAAACAACTGAGCAGGTGACAGCCTGGCGCAACACAAGGGCAGTCTTTTGAAAAACATTGCTCGTTGCCGCAATTCCAAAACAAGAATTGTTGTCTTGTGACTGCACAAATTGGCGGGTAGAAAATATTGCGGTTTTCTTTCACCACAGACAAAACTATACATCTATTGATAGCAAGAGATAAAACCTTTTAATTGTTTTAGTTTACTTTGTAAAACAAAAACAGTCGGGATTATAGGCTTTTTTGAAAGATAAGAGTATAAAACCAGCTCACGAGATATAAAACACTGTCCCTTCTTCATCAGTTCAAGTCGAGTCTTGTATCTTAATTATTCAAGGCAAGTTGTTGCGTTGTCTACGAGCTTACAAAACGCAATAAAGGTAACACAAAATGGATAGAGACATGTTGAATTTATGTTTGTAACATCGCTCAAGGCCAATAAAAACCTACACAAGCTAAGTTTACACAAACTGTGTTCATTGGAAATACATTTTACGGCTTTAATTAAAGTGCTTACGAAGCCCTGAAGCCATTTTACAGTCCACTGCCTCAACACAAAAGATGTTTATTTTGAAGTTGTTTTGACATATTCTGCACTCTGGAACATCGATATTTGACTGTGCAAATTTTTTTGTTGACTTTTGAAAACTTCCGACCACGACACGATAAAAGAGAGACTTGTTCGGTGAATCTTTGACATTTTAAACAGATTTCTTTCAAACTAGGCCTATATACCACAACTCTACATTAAAATCAGCCATGAGCGACAAACATTTGATTAATTGCTGAAAAAGACCGATAAGGAACAATTTTATTGTTTTCTTTTCAATGCACCGGAAATACATTAATTTCTTGCTATATTGTTTCGCCAGTCCTTCCTATCATCTTTTCCATAGATCTTCCACGCGAACGGAAATACTTAAGAGAAAAAGGGCTCTTTAAAGTAGTGTTCATAATCTGGATTAAGCAAATCACTAATAAACGATGCGTAATTTCTCCAAGTATTACCAACACTGTGAAGGGCGCTCAACTAAAATCATTTTCTTGATGTGTTACCACATTGCCAGGACTAAATGTCCGACAACATGGAAAGAGAATTAAACCGTTTGCATTTCCTTGAGGCTGCATAAACTGCAAGAACCTCACAAAACCCTGAGGCGTTTTTTAAATGATTCCTAATCTTGCCCGCAAACTTTCTTTGACGATCAACAAGCATATCGTGTGAAATATTACCATAAATGCTTGTTACCACACAACGTAACGCGATATACCGTACGTGAAAAATTCCACCGACAAACTTGCGGAAGAAATTCTAAAATTTCACAACTGCCATCCTTAAGCCAGTGTCAATTTCGAGACACTATTTTTTTTCTTGTTTTTTACACGACAGTTTTTAAGCCCGCTCTTAATCTGTCTTTGAACGTTGCTCAACGTCTTCATTTGTCATTTAAAGAGGTAGAATGGATTAAACCTTGCGCAGTTAAAGATTTCTGGCCTTTTCCGCAACGAATGAGGAAAGATATGAGAATAGCACAACCATAACATAACATTTCGTTGGCTCAGCGAATGTTCAAGATTTTATATCTCACAAGATAGAGGCTATACATAGTAGATACTGTCACAACAAACATTCCAAAGATATGACAATTAAAGTAAATTCAGCGCGTGCAAATGTACACGTGCCTTAAACACGAGCCACGCCAAATGACAAGCTGCGGAACATTAATTTTGTTTAGAGGGCGTAAAACTCCGAGAATAGTTTAAAAGAATAAATTAAAAAAAAAAAAAGAGGGAAAAACCCAGACTGAAACAAGGGTGAACTAGGAGCCCAGGGTCATGGGCTCCTGGGGCGCACCTATTTTGGCGATGTCGTGTGCGAGTTTGGGTTTCCTAAGTTTACTTACGATGTTTTCCTTATTTCTTTATTTTTCAATTTATATAATACTAAGCAATAACAAGATTTGGCTGAGGAACTAACTAACAACCACAAGAAACGAAGCTCTCTCTTGGTTCAATTCCAGACAAACAAGACAAGAGAAAAGCAAAGCTATATCATGAAAACGAAGTGTCAGCAAAGGAAACGATATTGGCTCACAGGAAACTAAAACTTGAAGTGAGAAAACAGAAACAACGAATGTAGCCAGGATGAGGGGCAGGGAAGGGAAAATAACCATTCTTAGACATAGTAACAAATTCTAATAGCTTTTTTTTATTGCTGAGATATTAGCTGGAAAGTAAGCAAGTTTTTCATGGCGACTAGAGCTCACGTGGAATGGAAACAAAATGGCCTTTGTGTGTGACAATTCAAACGAAAGCTGTTATGTAATAATTTCATGTTATGTAGTTTGTTTTCCAATTTTCTGCATTCTTTAATTTTTTCTCTCAGTGTACGGAGTTAAACTCATCATGAGTTCCTATGTACACAATAAATGGAGTTTCTGTTGGTCACGAGTCAAGCCAAAACAAGACGAAACACACAAAAATATTAATCTCCCAGCTGGTTGGATTGTTCAAAGGACTCAAGCTGTGCTATCAGTGTTTTGCTAATGAGTTCATCCTTCAAAATGAGTCTGTTTGTCGAAACCAGTCTCTAGAAGAAATTTCCGGTCTCGCGGTTGAAAAAAAAAAAAAAAAAAACCCAAAAAAAAAAAAAAAAAAAAAATTCAAACCCTTCATTTTGCGACTTTGAAGACAAGTAAATCAGGGAACATAATGGCATTCACAATAAAAATTCTTGTAAAAAACCACGTGTACTGCCAGTGATTAAGTCTCCACGTTAGATAACAAAGATGCAAAGGGTCTTTAGAAAATGGAGTTTTGCTAACAAGCCGAGCCACAAAGCGAAAATTAGCTACATTTGACTCTCCATAGCGCCTCCCCAAGACGAAATCATCGAGTGTCACATTTACAACATGTTTTTTTGACATGTACTCTCTCAAAAATGACGCGATTTGCAGCGATTATTGGAAATCCTATACTCGCGAGAGGACTGGCTATTTCGTCTAGTTTTGTAAAATAACCCTTGATTGTTAAATTTGCATGTTTTAAAACTTAAGACAGGCCGGAGACTCCATGTCTGATGCGTGAAGAGAAGATAGAGACAGAGACACGTTCGGGATGTTTTATCTCAATTTTGACAGAGCTGGCAAATCTTCTTTCTATAAAAGTGTAAACACATCGACGAGAAATGGTGTATTATGCGCATGCGCGAAAGCCTTGGGTTCCATTTATATAGCAATAGGAGGCGAGTGTTTTTTTCGTATTTTTTTGCGGTTTAAAACTTGGCCAAAAAGGGCTTTCCCGTGACCTTGTCCAGCAGTTAGTTCACAATGCTTGTGTATAGGATGCTTTTAAGGTGGGACAAAGGTAACTGCAAGTCCAGGAGGCTTCCCCAGTAACATTTGTCAGCCTCCACCTGGCTTAATTGATTATAGAAACTTCATACAATGCTGTGACGGCACATCTAGGCTGTGTGAGTGATTACAGACTTTAGTCTCTAATTAGCGGCTCATTGGCGAGAGACTAATGATTTCCTGCGCCATACACGTTGGCCTTATTCAAGAGTTGTGCGAGTTGTCAGGTCTTTATTCGTACCTGATGTGTTCAAGGATCACACAAACGCTGAACATGTCACCTACGTGTGTGTTTTACCATATCAATGATTCTTGGCTGGCGAAGTATTGTGTGCTTTAAAGGCTTGGAAATTAACGATTTACTCTAAAAAAAAGAATGAAATCAACTGGAACAGGTCGAGGAAGGCCTACAGAGGCTCCGCCGGCCCTGCCTTCAACCTAACAGGGTTGAAGTTCGAGTAGGTTTCGATCCTGTTGGCGTGAATACAGAATATTGTTGTGGTTTGCGAGAAGCTAATTTTATTAGCTGCCATCTGGCGATTATGTGAAAACTACACGAAAACAATGGGCCACATGGAAAGCGAAAGATAAGGTCCAAAGTAAGGAGTATGAATGTGACACCTTTTCAGGTGATGGGAGCTGGAAGATTCACAGATTATTCATGCAAAACATGCAATCATGTCTCACACAAGGGGCGTCCATTGAAAACATCTGATAAAGTTAAAAACCCAAACTGCCTTTTAATGGTAGCTAGGTTTTTTTAAAAATATGTGCTTTCTCAAAAAAAGGAGTTGTGTTCTCAAAAAAAAGCATATATCTGCATGGATAATGAGATACAAGGCTAAATAAATAGATTTCATTGTTCTTTTTGTGAGTCCGTTATGAGTTAATTCTCATTTGATTAATAAACAGCTCCAAGGGGTTTACAGTTTTATTTAAACTGCAGGTTAAACTCGAGAAAAAAAAACTTCCAAATCCGAAGACCGAAAAACGAAACAGGGAAACACTGTTTGTTTTGGAAGCTAAAAATGTGGGGAAAACTCTGAAAAGTGCGGGAAACTTACCACAAATATTACAACAATTTTAACAGTCAAAATAACAGAAAGCCTACTTTGAAGCAATCATGGTTTTCTATTATTTTGAGTCCTTTAACTTGGTAAAATGTGCCGCATTTTTATTATGACACAAATTGGACCTTTTAACATGCGTTTAGAGCACTCTTAAGGAAACAAACAAAAGACATCATTGGTTTATTTGTTACTCAAGCTGAAGCGAAAACATCAAAACGATATTTGAATCTAACCAGACCTCATTTTCAAAATGTATTTCTTAGGTCCATTTAACTGAATTGATACTTTTGTTATGCTGTATGCCTTTTTATCATTTTAATAAAGTACCTTGCAAGGGAGATTCTGTTACAAAACAGACGTAAGCTGATTTGAATTTCAATCTGATTAATACAGAAATAACTAAGTGAAAAAAACCTTTTTTCAAGAAAAAAATCCCTCAGCGCAGAGCCTGGCTCTAGTTTTAACTTCCGTGCTCTTCGCACGATCTCGTTGATGTGTCACGTGACTGGCTAATTAATTGAAAATTCTCACAAAAAGCTGCCCAGGAAACAAAACTTCAACTAATCAGCTCATTTGCATATGTGAAACGGTTTTCTTCAGTCAGTAAAAACAAGTAAAGATCTGTAACTTTCCATAAAGGGGGATAAAGCGGTCAAACGTTGTCTTAATCCGCGAGTTACAGCTTATAACACCAAAGAAATGTATTAAGTGAAAATCTGCGTTTTTTTCATTGTTTGATAAATGCTTTTCACCATCACTCCTTAGTAGATCGTTGGCGTCTTAATTAATTTTAGTCTTGTTCGCTATAGCTAGCAATACTGGATTTCGGAAGAAACTCCAAACCCGATCACATATACACGAAATCAACTCGACTGACATGACTCGTTGATCGACTTTGTTCCGAAAGCATTGAACGTACAAGTTAGATGTTACGTTTCACTCAATTTCATGCACTTAGTAAACGAAAGCAGCTCAATATTTCAATATGTTTTTGTTGCTAAACTTTGCTGATTATCCAACGTCGGACACAACACTTATTGTTTGTAGCTTGAAAAGTGGGCGTTTAATGTTGCGTGCGGAGGCATTCTCTACTTTACAATAGGCGTCGCAGAAACAAATTAAAAATCTCTAAAATGGACGTATGTGGTGTTTTTCATTTACAATTGTTGTGAACGCACTCTGTTTGTCCATTGAAAATGCTTGTATGTATTGTTAGGTTGTCAACACACTTCGAGAACTAAATAAATAAAACTGAGATAATTGAACAATTTTTAACGAAGAGCGTGTTTTTAACGTCTAGTTTCTCCCGATCTTAATACATTATCAAGCAGATAGGTGATAGAAATACACAAAATCATCATCTAAGGGAGCCCATCTTCATGTAACGCTAAATTTTCAAATCTAAAATTAAAAGAAATGTACGGAAATAGTTAGGAGATTTAATATTTCTTGCTTGGTATAACAACAGCGATTAACAATACGACAGTACCTGTTGTAGAATCATAAGTAGGCTATTATATATTTCGTGCAACGATGAAATTTTAGAGTATTTGCTGTTGAATTTGTTTTAACGCAAAGTAGCTTTGTCTTTGCATCTCTTTGTTGGCTTTCTCAATGCTAAACCAATCACAGACGAACGTGGTTACCCTTGTCAGACGAAAGAGGCACGTCAAATGCACGTGCCGTTGTTGGGGGCTCTGTGATTGGCTGAGAGGTTAGGAAAACCAACAAAAAGGCAAGAAAAGTTGTCATATTTTAATTAGAAAGATTACAGGGGGAAAGTGGATTTTTCGGTGTAGAAACTAAATTTTGATAGCAGGAAAATGATACAAATCACATGATACATTTTAGGTGAATTTAAATGCCCTTTGGCGGGTGGGGAAAAAAAGCCTCTCATTCTCTTCCTCACAGATATTTTCCTTTTATTTTGGTCTCTAAACTACGCCATGTTCATATTGTTCTTTGTCTTGTTGCTCTTTTCTTTGCGACAGAAAGAAATCCTGTTCATTCAAAGATTTCGCTTCTGGCTAGTATCTACTACCCATTGCTTTATCATTGTTTTTTTTTTTTCATTTGTTAACACTATAACTTTACATAGTCGCGACACGATTAGTTTATACACAGAAAAGATGCTAAAAAAAAGTGCTAGCTAGACCATGAAATGAATATAATATTTTTACACCGTCCCATCAAAATGTACTATAAGTCGCAGCATGTTATGTAATCAAATTCGGTTTAATTTCTTCTCGCAGCTGAGCAAGATTCTAGAGACTCTCTAGATTAAAAATGTTCCGAGGAGTCGTCGTCGATGTCACTGTGGCTTGTCTGTTTTAATTTCTTTTCATATTCAAATACTCTCCTTCTTTTTCCCGGCTTGATGTAAATTTGTCCAAAGAGCGTTTGATTTCATCGCGTTGGCGTTTCTTCGATTTACTTATGAGGTAAAAGTGACTGAAGTACAAGATGTGACGAGGCGTAGCTTGAAGAGGAACCTGGACTCACAGCTTTCTTTGAAATTGAAAAGTTACCCTAATGTTATCTCATTATTTGACATATATTCCTCTATCAAGTTTATAGCTGTATTATTTTAAAACACTTTGTTTGGAAAATCCAGCAGACCAAACAGTCTATAATTTCGTACGATGTCCGGCCGTGACTTTATATTTTAGGGCTGCCAAATTTAGATTGGTTTAGTTGGATCACTAATGGTTTCCGAGGAATAAAAAGCAAAACAAGTCGGCAGTAGCTGACGACTAGTAACAACGAAACAAAATTAATGATGACGAATTTTATTGTATCCTTCTTACCGAAAAAAGTATTGCTAATCTACAAAAGTAATATAAAGCCCTTCCTATAGTCCAAAAAAGTTAAAGTGGTCAGTGGCGGATCTAGGGGAGGGGCCCAGGGGGCCCGTGCCCCCCCTTATTTTGGGTAAAAAAGCAGAAGAAATGACAGAAGGAAGAAAAGCCGGCATGGCAAGTAAAACACAACTGCCCCCCCCCTGTTAGTTCAAGGTCTGGATCCGCCACTGATGGTCATTATGGCACGCCAATGATGACGATGTAACATAACAGATTTGTGATTGGCAGTCCCAGATTCAACTCCTCCACGCTTTGTAATTAGCCAATTGGTCAGCCTACCACCAGTTGGGATTTTCAGCACGTTTCT